ACTAAAGTAGCCATGACCTCTGCTGCAGGCCCTAGACATCTGTGGGCCCACCTGGCCCAGGGGCTCCTGGGAATGGCTAAGCTTAAGGGCTTTACGCTGCTGGTTCTCAGCTGGGGGTGACTTTGCCAGCTCTACCCCAGGGGACATTTGCAGAATTTTGGACTATCATGACTGGGGGCAGGGGGAGTGCTACTGGCATCTCATGGGTAGTGGGCCAAGTATGCTGCTAAACATCCCACAATGCATAGGACAGCCCCACAACAAAGAATGGTCCAGCCTAAAAGTTCGACAGCGTTGAGAATGAGAAACCCTGGGTCTAGGCTCTCAATCTGTAAAGGGCAGTGAACGACCAAGGGATTTGGTTAAAATGCAAACTGGGGTTGATTGTGGGCTCTTGAGATTCTGCAGGCCGAGAAGCCGACTTCTAGCCCCTTGATCCTCAAAGCTGTGGTCCAGGGAGCAAAGCCTTCCAGTGGCATCAGTATCACCTGGGAGTCCTCAGATATCCTGACCTTTGGCCCCTCCTCAGACCTCATGAATCCCTGATCTGCGCGTTGTAATAAGGCTTCCAGGTGGGTTTTGGGTATACTCAGCAACTGGAAATCCTGGTGGCACATTAGGGAGTTTTGAAAACTCTCCATCCCTTTGGGGAGCAGGGAGGCCGGGCCAGGTTTTAACAGTCCCCCCAGTTCTAACACACAGCCAGAGTTGAGAGCACAGAGCACTGCCCTGGAGGAAACAGTTCAGTTTCCATGGCAGGCAGGAGCAGGCACCATGGTGGAGGCTCCACACAGCCCCCAATCTCTGGCAACAAATCCTGACAACTCGCAGCTTCTTGGCATCAAATAACCCGTTCCCCCAGAAGCAGGGCTGCTTTTTGGCACCCGAGGCCTGGCTGTCTGCCAGACACAAGCTCCTGGGCAAGAACCGGCTGATGGGACAAACAGGAGTCAAATCCAAGCGTCTTAACTGTTGACAAGAAAGTAGAAGAAAGAGGAACTCATCTCACTGTGACTTAAAATCGGAAGGTGATGATAATAACAACCAGTACTTCCTGTGTGCACTTTTCTAAGCATAGAAATCATTATCCCCACTCTATAGACGAGAAAGCTAAGGCAAGAAAGGCATATGCCCAAGGTCATACAGGGGACAGGTGGTGAAGCCGGAGCTGAAACACAGCATCCAGGCTGCTCTGTTTCACCAGGCCCTGGTGCTTTAAAACCCTCCTCATTTTCGGCACAAAGAGAAGAGCTCATGAGTGCCCCGCACCCTCAAGAAGCAGGCTCGACTTGGCTAGTCTGTGTTCTAGCACTTCTCCAGGGCAGTGAGCTTTCAGCTGGCCTACTTTGGGTAAGAAGTAAGTAGGCTTAGGGCACAGGGCACCAAGGCTTTGTGTGACAGCACAGCTAGGCCACCTTTGGGACAAAAAATGCAAACCACATTCTTGGTTGGGGAGTCAAAGGGTCTCTTCCTTGTGACCCTGGGTAAGGACCTGAAGGTTGGTAAGCGAGAGGCAGGGGCAAGGCCTCTGGTCCCCCCGCACCTCTTTCTAGATGCCAAAGTCAGCTCCCCACAGCCGTTCCCTTCTCTCAAAACACTCCCAGGGATGGAAGAAAGTGGAGGCTTCAGGGATCAAACTCAGGTCCTATAAATCCCTTCCACCGCATTCTCACCCTTCCTTGTTCACCCAGCTCAAGCCAGGCTACCTTCCTCTCTGTTCCTCCAACTTGCCAAGCTCATTCCTACCTCAGGGCCTTTGCACCGCCAGGCACCTTATTTTTTCAACTCTTTGCATGGCTGGCTCCTTTCCATCCTTCAAGTCTCAGATCAGATGTCACCTCCTCAGACAAGCCCTTACTGACCCCACTCTCTAAGGTACCCTCCCACCACCAAACACATCACAGTATCCTGCTTTTCTTCATAGCACTACCAAGTTTCTTCATGGCGCTACCAATCACCTCTGATATATACTGTTTCTAGTCGGTCTCCCTCCACCCAGGAGGACAAAGATTGGGTCTGTCTTGTCCTCTATGTCTTGGGAGCTTACAACAGCGCCTGGCACAGAGCAGAAGCTTTATAAATATTTGTTGAATACATACATAAATCTTTATTTCTAGTCAAGTTAATGAAATGACAATTATCTTCTTGAGGGTTCACCAGGATGATATGCTCTAGTTTGCTATGGAGTTGTCTGCATGAGAGATTTGTCAAGTAACAGACCAGCCATATTCCAACGCAACCTAAAGCACAACAGTAACAACCATAACAATTACAACAATAAAGTAACGCAGCTAACATTTAATGCACACTTACTACGTGCCAGGAACTGTGTAAGGTGCTTTACTAGTTCAAAACTCATTAACAAGCCTGTGACATGAGGTGTGATCAAAAAATACGGTGAATGTTAAAATTAAATTTAAAAAATGTATTACAGTAAAAGGCATTACCATTACTCCCCCTCAGAATACTCCCCCTCGCTTTGAACACACTTATCCCATCATTCTTGCCACTTTCTGAAGCAGTTCTGGAAGACCTCTTTCGTGAGTGTCTTTAGTTGTGCTGTCGTGGCTGCCTCGATGTCCTGAATCGATTCAAAACGTTTACCTTTCGTGGTCATTTTGACTTTGGGGAAGAGCCAGAAGTCGCACGGTGCCAGATCCAGTGAATAAGGTGGATAAGGACATACTGTAATGTTTTTGTTGGACAGAAATTGCAGTACCAGAAGTGATGTGTGACACAGAGGCTTTCCATTGTGATCACAAAATACGGTAAATGCTGCTGCCGAGTGCCATTACAGAAAGGCAGGGATCTTCAATATGGGAAGTGGCGCGTTGAACCTTAGTAACAGTGTGTGACAAGTTTCAACTTGTGTGGTGCAGTCAGTTCGGTGTGAGCTACAGTTGAGAGGTATCTTTTAAAGTATGCCGTAAATCATCCTCCATCATGACAATGCTTCACGTCACACATCGCTTCTGGTATATGGCAATTTCTGTCAAATAAAAACATTACGAAACAAACAAACAAACAAACAAAAACATTACGGTGTATCCTCATCACCTTATTCACTGGATCTGGCACCATACGACTTTTGGCTCTTCCCCAAAGTCAAAATGATTCAGGACATCGAGGCAGCCACAACAGCACAACTAAAGACACTCACGAAAGAGGACTTCCAGAACTCCTTCAGAAAGTGGCAAGAACGATGGGATAAGTGTGTTTGAAGCGAGGGGGAGTATTCTGAGAGGGATAAATGGCAATGTGACTTTTACTGTAATACATTTTTTTTAAATTTAAACATTCACCATATTGTTTGATCACACCTCGTATAGCAGCTTGTTCTTTTCTTCATTTTGCAGAGATGAACACCAAGGCTTGGAAAGGATATGTCACTTGTCGAAGGTTACACTTTAGTAAGGATCCAATGCAGTGCAGGGCCCTTGACCACTGCCCTGCCCCACACTGCACAGGGCTTATTATGGCAGTGCTTCCTGAGACTGCACCAACAGGGCATATCTGGAAAAGTGACTCATTGTTCTCAGGAGATTCAGCCGGGCTGTGTCTTTCTCCCAGTTTCTCGCACAAAGCACACACAGTTCCTCACAACTTCAAAAATGTTAATTCTAATATCTGTACTAAACAAGCTTATTGATCAGGATTGGTTTTACAATTCCATATCAATGCTGAGCAGCCATTTTTGACTGGATCACTGGTTCTCAGGCTCATGGCTTAAACTTCATTTCCCCTTGGAGTTGAGCTTGTCTTTCCACATACTTGAAGCAAAGACTCGTCACAGTCAAAATGACCACATAACACCTAAGAGCAATAATTGACTCTTACGCTTGCACCTGTGTGCCAGACACTTTAAAATTCCAACTCACTGAATCCTCACAACCACCCCATAGGATATTATCCCCACTTCACAGCTGAGAAAACCGAGGTCCTGAGAGGTGCTGTCCCTTGCCTAAGGTCACCCAGCAAGTAATCAGCAAAGCCGATCTGAACCCCAAACGGTGGCTCCAGAGTCTGCTTTCTATCACTACCCTCCACTGCCTCTCTATCAGACATCTGCTCAGAAGTCATTGCAAGTAAGTTCTGTTTAGCTGTTCACAGTATCACATGAGTCATTCATTCACTCATTCATTTAGACATGTTTTTAGAGCCTTTGCAAAGTCAGGATTGGGCTAAGGGAAGTAGATGTGAGGCCCCTGCCCTCTAAATGTTTGGAGTGGGGAACGAATGAGTGAAAAGGCAATTTCATAACATCATACTCAATGGTGAGAAGCTCGAAGCTTTCCCGCTAAGAACAGGAACAAGCAAGGATGGCTCCTCTCACCACTACTTTTCATCGTACTGGAAGTTCTAGTTAATGCAATAAGAAAAGGAAAAAAAGTACACAAATTGGGAAGGAATAAAACTGTCTTTGTTCATAGATGACATGATCATTTATGTAGAAAATCCTAAAGAAAACTGAAAACAACTCCTGGAACTAATAAGCACTTATAGCAAGATTGTAGGATACAGGTTAATAAACAAAAATCAATCACTTTTTTATATACCAGCAACGAACAAGTAGAATTTGAAATTAAAAACACAAAACCACTCACATTAGCACCCCCCCAAAATGAAATACTTAGGTATAAATCTAACAAAATATGTACAATACCTACATGAGGAAAACTATAAAACTATGATGAAAGACATCAAAGAACTAAATAAATGGAAAGAGATAGTCCACGTTCATAATAGTAAGATTCAATATTGTCAAGATATCAGTTCTTCCCAACTTGATCTACAGATTCAATGTAATCCCAATCAAACTCTCAAACTCTCTTTTGAGAGGCAAAAGACCCAAGAATACTAAAAGAGAAGAACAAAGTCAGAGGACTGACACTATCTGAGTGCAAGAGTTACTATAGCTCGACCGGTTGCCCGTGGTTGCGGAACCCAGCCCACCTCCGAGGACCTGCTGCCTCCAAGGGCCTGCTGCGGGAGGCGATGCCATGGAGCGCCTCGATAAAGCAGCGCTAAACGCCCTGCAGCCGCCCAACGTCAGAAATGAAAGTTCATTAGCATCTACCCTGAAGACGCTCCTGTTCTTCACAGCTTTAATGATCACCGTACCTATTGGGTTATATTTCACCACGGAGTCTTATGTTTTTGAAGGCGCCTTTGGGATGTCCAATAGGGACAGCTATTTTTATGCTGCTACTGTTGAAGTGGTCTCTGTTCACATGGTGCTGGCTGTCTCTGTCTATGTGGCCTGGAATGAAGGCTCACAACAGTGGGGTGAAGGCAAACAGGATTAAAGTGATCACCTTTTGAAAGTATTAAATTGATTTTTTTTAATGGTAAATGTGTCGGGGATACTGATGATTCCAATAAAGTTGAGAGAACATGTTAAAATCAATCTTAAGGAGTCATGTTTGACTAGTATAAATTTTAATCCTTCTAATACAATCGTTTGCATCATCAATTTTAACTGTATGAGCCTCTTATTTGCAACTGAGAATTTGGATCAATTAAACTGGTTACAAGTAAGTACGTTAATTACACATCATTCTGGGAAGAATTTGATTATTTTACAGGAAACTGTGTTTTACAGCACTTTGTCTTTTGGTGGGTTTTGAGTTTTACTTTTCTGGATATATTAAGACGTACACAGTGAAGCAAGTCTAAACTTTATTTTTCGTTGCAACACTTTCCCTAACTATCATGAAAGTACCAGGTCACTGGATTTTGGAATGTAAATTCCCATGGAAAATTGCTTAAATTGTGGATGCTGGGATTAATTTGAATGTCACTGAGAAATTTCAAATAAAGTATAATCCCTAAAAAAAAAAAAAAAAAACTTACTCTAAAGCTACAGTTATCAAAACAGTGTGGTATTAGTGAAAGAGTACACAAACAGATCAATGAAACAGAACAGAGAGCCCAGGAATGACCTACATAAATACTGTCAACTCTTCGTTGACAGAGTTGGAACAAAGAAAGTACTAATTGAGCAAAGATAACAATCTTTTCAACAACTGGTGCTGAACAGAGAACATCTACATGTAAAAAAATGAATCTGGATACAGACCTTATACCTTTCATAAAAGTTAAGTCAAAACAGATTACGGACCTAAATGTAAAATGCAAAATTATAAAACACCTAGAAGATAACATAGGAGAAAACCTAGATGACCTTGGGTATAGCTATGACTTTTTAGATACAACACTAAAAGCACAATCCACGAAAGAAGGAATTAATAAATTGGACTTCATTAAAATTAAAAACTGCTCTGTGAAAGACAATGTCAAGAGAATGAGAAAAACAGTTCACAGACTGGGAGAAAATATTGGGTTGTTGGAAAAGTCATGACGCATTTTTGTAACAAAAAACAAAAAAATACGTCATGACTCTTCTGACAACCCAATCCTTGCAAAAGACACATCTGATAATGGACTATTAGTTAAAATATACAAATGACTCTTAAAACTCAACAAGAAGAAAACATGCCAATTTAAAAATGGGCCAAAGACCTTAACAGATACCCCACTGAAGAAGATATACAGATGGCAAATAGGCATATGAAAAGACGCTCCACATCACATGTCACCAGAGAGAAATGTAAATTAAAACAATGAGATGCCACCACACACCTATAAGGATGCCCCAAATCCAGAACACTGACAACACCAAATGCTGGCAAGGATGTGGAGCAACAGGAACTCACATTCACTGCTGGTGGGAAGGCAAAGTGGCACAGCCACTTTGGAAGACAGTTTGACAACTTCTCACAAATCTAAACACACTCTTACCACACAATTCAGCAATCATGATCCTTGGTATTTACCCAAAGGAGTTGAATATTTATGTTCACACAAAAACCTGCACACAGATGTTTAGAGCAGCTTTGTTATAATTGCCAAAACCTGGAAGCAACAAAGATGTCATTCAGTAGGTGAATGGCTCAAATGTGGTACATACAGACAGTGGAAAGAATTGAGCTATCGAACCATGAAAAGACATGGAGGTACCTTCAATGCATAGCACTAAGTGAAAGAAACCAATCTGAAAAGGCTGCTACATATTATATCATTTAACATTCTTGAAAAGATAAAACTATGGAGACAGTACAATGATCAGTGGTTGCTAGAGGTGAGGGGAGAGGGAGGGATGAACAGGTGGAGAACACAGGATTTTTAGGACAGTGAAACTACCGTGTATGCTACCATAATGGTGGATACATGTCATTACACATTTGTCCAAACACATAGACTGTACAACACCAAGAGTGAACCCTAATGTAAACTATGAACTCTGGATGATAACATGTTAATGTAGGTTCATCAATTGTAGTAAGTGTACCATTCCAATAGAAAATGTTGATAATGGGGGAGGCTATGCATGAGTGGGATATATAGAAAATCTCTATACCTTCCCCTCAACTTTGTTATGAACCTAAAACTGCTCTACAAAAGTTGTGTTGTTGTTTTTTTAAACAGGCTAATGAAATAAGCCACCAATGAAAAGGCTCATGTTATTCTGAGATAAATATTCATAATTTTTTAAAAAATTGAACATTATATAAAGGGTTTGGGGCATTAAATTTAGACTTTGGGTTTTATTTTTTCCACATCTGTAATGGGTCTAACACAGATCTGCCACATGGGGCTGCTGAGAAAACTAAATGAGTTAAACCAAGTACCTGAAATGCTTAGCACATGGTGAATGCCCAATAAATGTCACCTATTACAGGCACACCTCATTTTATTGTGCTTTGCTTTATTGTGCTTCATAAATATTGCATTTTTTATAAGTTGAAGGCAAGAACTCCACCAGCAAGATTACAAACTCGCTTTAACTGAAGTGGTCTGAAACCAAATCCACAAGATATCTGAGGTCTGTCTGTATTATCTCCAGCACCCTGGACAGCATCCGACACACAGTAGGCACTCCCTGGTGCCAGGGGATCCAGCCACCTGCAGAGAGACACCCAGCCTGAGGAAGGAGATGAACTGGAAGGCCTCTGGGAGCCAACGGGGTTGTCCACTAGGCTATGAGACAAGCAGGTAAAACAGACCTGCCTGAAGAAACCAGTTCTGCAACCTTTCTCTGGCTGCTCTAGGCCCGCTCCCAGAGCCTGCCTCTCGACTTTGATCTAGGAGGTTTAATCATTTCCCTGATTAGACAGATACAACTCAAGAGGCTTTAGAACTGTGTCCCTCACAAGCTTCCTTCCAGCACTTTCAGGTTGAGGGCCAGCTGTTGTGCCACATTCCATGGGTCACTTTTTGTAAATCGACCACAAAGGAGACATGTGTCAAATGCTGGGAGACAGCCCCTTTGTGATGGCTAGATTGGTAATGGGGTCTGTGTGATTGCAATATTGACTGAGCACGCCAGTGATCACAATACTTGTGTTCCACTGGGAGAGACAATTAGGAAAATTCTTGATTTCCCAGCCTTTCTTGCATTAAGAGTGGTCACGTGACTTTATATAGCCAATGACATAAAGGAGAACCTGTTGGGATTATCATTCCTGACAAAATAGACAATGCTTTGCTCCAGGTATTTGCAGGGAGGTGTTCTTTGAAACAGGTGAAGTGTTATTGCTAATGAAGGGTACTGCTCTCCTGAAATGGTGGTGGCACTGTCATCACTGACACTGACTCCCTGAGTCTACTGTACAGACCTCCTTAGGGAAAGCAGGGGGTATGCAGTAAAATAAAAATAACCGGCATCCACTGATGTCACTACTTGTTACGCTGTTTTAGGTGCAATACAAATGTTAACTCATTTCCTCCTCAGCACAGGACCATGACGCAGGTATTGCTATCTCCAGTTACAGATGACAGAAGTCAGTACAGAGAGGTTAGGTAACTTGCCCAACATAGTAAGTGGCAGAGGGGATATTAGAACCCAGGTAATCAGGCTCCCTAATCAAAACTCTTCATCGTGAGCTACACCAACAAAGTATGAGCCTAGGTCGGCCCTGTAAAAATAATTGAAGCCATCAATACCATGCGCTGAGCGCTTATTATGTGGCAACCTTGGAGCTAAGCACAGTGTGTGTGTGTGTGTGTGTGTGTGTGTGTGTGTGTGTGTCTGTGTCTGTGTCTGTGTCTGTGTGTGTCTGTGTGTGTGTGTGTGTTACCCTCCAAACACCCACTGTGGTCAGCACTGTTACTGTGTCTGTTGAAAAGATGAGAGGTGATGGGACTTGCCCTGTGTCGCATGACTGGTAAGGATGGTGAAGGCTAGAGGTACAGGCCTGCAAACCCCTAGACACCAGATCATAACTCTTGGAAATAGCTCGCAGGAGAAATTTTCTTTCATTCTTTTATTATTAACCACAGTCAATGACCCACTCTCAAGGACATTCTTGGCCTCTCCTTGGCCACATGTGATAAAGGCCACGTGTACTTGGCCATAGAGAAAAGCAGGGCATGGAAGGAAACAGAGCAGAACCCTGCAGGCAGGTGCTCCTAGAATCAAGGCCACGGTCCCGCCCTTGACCACCAGGCTGTTGGAGCCAGAACGGGCCTTGCTTTAGCCTCATAGGCCTTCCCTCTGCTCTGGAGGAAGCCCTGCTCGCAAGGACCTCAACACATGCTGTCCCCCTGCCCAGAAAGCTCTTCCTCATGCTCCACTGCTCAGGTACATGCTTCTCTCTTTCCTCTAATTAACTCCTACCCATCCTTCAGTGTTCAGCCACTCAGCTGGATAAAGAGAGATCTCCACGATGCGCTGTTCAGTTAAACAAAAAAGAAGCAAAGTGCAGGACAGGGTGTGGAGCAGGCTACATTTTGTATAAGAAAGGAAGGGAAGATAAAAATAGATATTCATATTTACATAACCAAACCGTAGAAGGATATGCCAGAAACTAATACAAATGATTACTTAAGGGAAGGATATGCCAGAAACTAATACAAATGATTACTTAAGGGGTGGAAGAACAAGGTGGGTAGGGCAAGGGGTAGGAGAGGAGACACCTCTTAGTATGTATGTCTACACACACAGGCACGCACACAGAATTGACTTTTGAAGCATATAAATCCATGACCTACTTTTTAAAAAGTGTCACAAATAAAAACAAAGCAGGGGTAATGGGCAGAGGGTCAGAGAAGGCATGTGATCACGGACCTGAATACATCCATCTGAGGGACTGTGGGATAATGTCCAACACCCCCACTGGCCTGTGGATTCCTGAGGGCAGGCCTAAACCTGCTCTGGCTGCCAACCAGGGGCCTGCCACGCAGCTGGTGACCGAGACATGCTTAGAGTGTGTGTGAGTGGATGCACCAAGCAAGCCACCTTCAG